TGATAGAAACTGATCGCTGTAAACTCCAGCATCACCTGTTTCAACTCCCTTTTTAAGCTGTAGATTACTGATCCACTTCTGCCTTCTTTCAGTACGTTTTTTTTTTTATTAAGTCCTTTGTGGCGCACTACATTTGGGACTTTTTGGGGAAAAAAAAACGTTTGTCTTTGTCCTGATCAGAGTGATTGTAATATTCATAGACCACATATAATTTCGTCATTTTAATACTCAGTCACCAAAATTTTGCGCAGCACCGGCTACTTCCAGACCCCCATCTGCAGATGCAACATCACGTGAAGCCCAGCAATACGCAGGGTTGTCGGTTTGAACACCGATCATTCATCATCGTTCTGCCGTTGTGTCCTTGGGCAAGACACCTCACCTTGCTGCCTTACGTCTGAGTTAGTCATTTTGGATTAAACCATTGCCAAATGCATAAACATGAGCATGGCCCTAGAACGCTGAGGCAGCCATTGAACACAAGCTCCTGCTGAAAATCGTAACAATGAGGTTATTATGTACCGTTGATGCTCTCTTTCCTTGTTGCTGCTGCTGGTAAATTCACACTTCCTGGATAACTATATGGTCTCATAGCAACTGGCGATGTAGATTAATGTAGTTGGTAGGCAATGCATGCACATTATTTCTAACCTATACATTTAGGGGACAGCAGTAGCTCAGGTAGAGTGGGTTGTCCAGGAGTGCATCTCCCATTCGGAAAGTCGGAAAAATTTTACAACTCCGACATCGACATCTAATTTGGCAGCTCTCTGTTAATCAACAACAGTAAGTTTTAGTTGAAATTTGTTTATTTTACAAGACATGCTTATAAGAGTGAGTTTAAATTAAATGTTCCATGCAGCGCTTGCAACACTAAGCAGCAGATGAGATGCATATGTACTTAGTAGTCATCTGTTTTGTAGAAAGCCGACAAAACAATCGTTTTACAGCCCCTCGTTGAATGCTGCGATGATGTGAAGAGCCTCAGAAAACTTTCTTTTGCTGAACGATGCCAAGACAGAGGCTATCATTTTCAGCCCTAAGACTTCTCAAAGTCCCCAAATGACCCTTCCATTTATCACAAGTGGGTTTAAAACCCGTGTCACAAACTTAGGGGTTGTGATGGATGCTAAACTAAAAATGGACATTCATGTCAACCAGGTAGTTCAGACCTGTTTTTACCACCTGAGCATGGCGTCTCTCTAAAGTTAAGCCCATTTTAAAAAGGAGTCATCTCCATTCAGTTGTCCATGCCTTCATTACTTCCCGTCTCGACTACTCTAACTCAGTGCTATATGGTATCTCCTCCTCCACTCTCACTCGCCTTCAGCTAGTGCAGAACGCAGCAGCTCGATACTTGACTGGCACCAGGCAGCGAGAACACTTCACACCGGTTTTAGCAAATCTCCATTGGCTCCCCATCCATCTCTGGATAGAGTTTAAGATCCTGGTTTTTGTGTTTAAATTCCTCAATAACTTAGCACCTGGCTACTTGTCTGAGCTCATTCACCCTTATGTCCCTACAAGATCCCTCCGATCAGCCGACCAGCACCTCCTCCATGTCCCTAGCTCCCGCTGTAAATCCCGCGGGGAGCGCGCCTTTTCAGTTTGTGCACCGAAGCTCTGGAACCACTTGCCCCTCCTGATCAGACTCTTCCTCTCTTTCCCTATTTAAGTCTCGTTTAAAAACTCACTTTTATTCGTTGGCTTTTAATTCAGTCTAACTTATTCTCTTTCTCCTTTTTTTATTTTTAAGTTGAATTACTCTATTTTAATGGATTTTGTTTTTATTTTTGATTGTTTTTTATTGTGTGTTTTTGTTCAGCACTTTGGTCGGCTCTCATGCCGTGTTTAAATGTGCTATACAAATAAACTTGGTATGGTATTTTCAAGGTCATTGCCATATTAGAATTGGGCTGAACGATTTTGGAAAATAATCTAATTGGGATTTTTTTTCCTCAGTATTGCAATTTGTGATTTTATTCAAGATTATTTTCTCAAGGGGCTTTTCATATTTTTCAACTAACGGAAGCAAAACAAAAACCTATGTAACTTGTACTGAATATAAACAAGTTTATATATCTACATATCATATCAAGTTTATTTGTCTACATATACACAAACACTCACAAGTAAAGACAAAATTTTGTATTTGAAGGTGCAATCTCTTGAAGGAGCATAGGTATTAGCATCAACTGTGAACATTTATTAGTAGGAAAGAAGTGTGTCCCGTTTATTTAAGTCTTTTGTGGTTAGAGTTTTTGACGTCCATGCAGAGCTTCCGTAGTTCAGTTACGGTCATAGCTGCTAGCAAAAACTTTGTGGAGTTAGTCTCTTACAGTTTTCTAGCTTCACTAAAATACCTGTCCGTGCTTATTTGATTGATGGTAGTTTTTTATAATTTTTTAGACTCCAAATGTAATCATTTGGCACGTTGCTAATTCATAATTTGTAAGAATGTAATCGGCGATATTAGCATTAGCATCCCTATGGGTTCTACCATGTATATTAGCATCGTGCTAACCACTCCCTGCCAGTTAAATCGCAGACTTTGCGATTAGAAAATCTCCTTTTGTCACATCGCAGTTTAACTGCATATGCAATTAATCGTTCAGCCCTATATTGGAATCCCACATTCACCGACGAAGGTCACCAGAACGTTGTTAACTCTCGTGCAACGTCATTCCCAGTTCCAAGTTCAGACTTCTGAGGTAACTTGAACGTACCATAAGCCTGCCCAACCTCTCTCTACAAACAGAAAGCACTGTGATTGGTCAGACTTAGAAGTGTCCGGGCCAATGGTAGACCTGCTGAAGCTACAATGGACTGTGGCTGGTTCGACCTGAGGACCAAATTCTTTTGCTACTGCGACGGTTTGTCTACATCTCTAAACTTAAATTTTAGGATAATCAGCAATAAGAAAACAAGTGCTTATTGATTATAGTTCTTCAAGATAAATCTGAATCAGCTGAAATGGGTAGAGTTCCCTCGGTTTCACAGTGGAAGCATCAGCGGTACGAAACTGTTTACTCGCAAACTTCAAAGCGGTCCTTTTGACACAGGGAGAGCCTTGGCCGTGCTTTCTTGCTGTGCTCTTCGCTGGCGAGATCCCAAAATCCCTCGAGACTTCTGCCATCTTCCTCGCTTGACTAGTGAGATCACAAGATCCCTCTAGACTTCAAAGGTCACATTTTTTTATGTAACCCTCATTAAACCAAAAAGAAGAAAATCACGTTTGATATCGCTGTTTGATGATTTTCCTCTCTACTGCCAGGACAAAACCCATGAAAAACACACCGAGGCACTTCTTGAACAATACTGGGAGTAAATAAGTCGTTGGGTCACACGTAAACTACATATATATGAAATTGCATTGCTGCAGTACTTTTTTTTTTTTTTGAAAAAGACTGGGCATTTTACACTGAAACCGTGTGTGATTTCCTCTCTAGCTCTATGCTAACTGCAGAAATTGACGCATCACAGAAGCAGCTTGCGCCAAAAATAGAACCCAATCTCATCTTTAGAAGCACGTGCCGCTTCTGGGACGCGCCAGAAAATTGTCGCGGCAGATTCAAAACACTCTATAGACCATGATTCTATTTGTAGCAGTGACGTTCTGCTGCCATTTCAGTGTGAAACCGGGTTTAGGGAAACACTTGAAAAGTTTTACAGCAAAAACATTTTTAAAAATACCATAAAAATACCGCCAAACACACAAGCTGTTTAACCTCTGAAATAAAGCCCCGAGTCAGATAAACATAGAGATGAAGAGGCAGGTACAGCAAACACTGGAGACCTTTTAGTCCAGGTTCCCGTCCCAAGACAGGCAACTTATTCAGTCACAGCTTCAGGTTACACTTTCAGCAGTCAAATCACGATATGCATCACGGCAAACAATACCGTCTAGAGTTACTAAACGTCTCCTCTTTCCCTCTCTGACAATGACAGGCAGCGCAGAAGTCCAGCTTCTTTAGTCTCGCTAAAAAGACATTTGTACAAATGGGAAAAGCTAAGTGGGTCATGGAGTGTTACGGAATGCCGTGGCTGTGTGAAATAGTTCATCTGCAAGAGAAATGCAAAAATATATCTGGGAGTAACAATTAGACTGTAGGATAAACTGAAAAGGTTAGCCTAGGAATACTCTAATACTGTAGCATTCCCTACTTGAGCCACGGCACCTGAGGGCATTATTCTACATCTATAATGTCATCCAGGTTTGTTTTACACTGGAATGTGACTCTAGGCCACACCAGAGGCCCTGTTTTATTCACGTGAGAAGTAATGACAAATCAGGAGTAATAGACACAAACAGGAAGTGACGGTGCCACTGTGTTGTTGCCTACAGGTTTCATTACATTAGCACGTTTAGTTTGAATTCCCAGGTCTGTCATGGCGTTTGATTTAATCAGGCAGAACAATGAGGAGATAAATGCTGAACAGATGAGTGGTGTGAAGTTGCTTCTGTTCAGGGATCAAGAAAATGGTGATGTCAGTGAAACAATCACTTACTCAGTTGGGTAAATAAAAGGATGACAGAGACGCTGATTATTATCTTACTGGACGTTTTTTGGTGACTGAAACAAACCAGCCTGATTAAATGTGATGCTTACTCTCATAATCCCCGTTTCCAATTATTAATGCAAATATTATCATTATTAGAACCTCCACTGTTGTATGGAGCTCCAGTTGTAAAATAAAACATATTTAGAATCAAATCCAAATCGTTAAAAAAAATCCAAAACAAATGCGGCAGTTTTCAGTTAAATGTTCAGAAAATAAAACATATACCAGGTCAAAAGTGACCACACAGTAAATAGATTCTGGTAAATATTATTAATGTTTTTATTTATTGATGAAAACATAATTCATTAGAAATATGCGGAAGAGGAAAGTTGGGACTTTGCCATTAATACATCGGAACGCTTGTATAAATAAAATAAGTATTAACTTAGAACCGGAACTTCTTTGAAGTTTTCCTCCTCGTTGCCAACAACACTCACCGTCTCTAGGGGCTTGTTGCCGGGCAGAGCGTTCTAGAACGGCGCGAGCCCACTTCTCTGCCTCCTCCAGGTCAGCGCGCGGATCCTGGTGTGCCGAGAGCCGAAAGCACTGCTCCACTCTCTGCCGCAACTTTCCGGGAGACATCCAGCGGCGTCTCAGCGGGTAGAAGTAGGCTGCAAAGTACGCGCACCGGTTCGCCTTGTCGTCTCCGGGATAAGCCCGGCAGCCGACGCAGTCCTTCAGACTCAGAACCACCTTGGTCCGCCCGACAGGTGCAGAGGTGAGCCTCTGAACAATGAGGTCCTCCTCTGTCAGGTTCACGGAGCACCGGACTTTTCGGTTATTAATGAGCGTGAATTCTCCGTAGAACGTGACCAGAGCGGCGCCGTTTCTGACCTCGGGCTCAGCTCCCCTCTGAGCCATCCTGAACGACCGCCAGAGTTCGGAGACTCGGGAGGGATGGAGGGTCCGTGAAGCTGCAGTCACTCACATCTGTGGAACGATGCGGAGCAGCTGAGCCACTCGGACCGGACCTGTCAAGATACCAGCACTAAGACACGCCTTTTCCGGCTGGATTTCAAAATAAAAGCATCCCCCCCACCTAAACGTTTACAGCGTTTTATTAAAAACAGTCATATTTAACATTACCTGTAAAGAATGTTTTTATTATGTAACTTTAACTGAATCCGTGGTATAATAGACGTATTTCAAGACACTGAAGGTCAACTTACAGTAAAAACAATGAACAGCAATGTAAAAACAAATATTAGAGAAGAAATGAATACACGACCAGAATATCTTATTTTGCAAATATACGCCTTTGTTTAAAAAATCCTCTGTCGGAAATGTAACGGAGTAATTTATAGCTGAACAAACTAAACATTGAGTAATACAAACTAAATGTATTCTATGTAGGAAACCAGGTGTTTCCTGTCATTCCTTGTCTTCTGTAGGTTTATCATTTCTTTTGTTATAGTTTTTGTGCCTGTATTATTCTCGGATAGATGTGGCCTATATGTGCAGTAGTTAGAGCTCATGAAATAATGATGCTGAGATCCCAAGTGAGTTTAGTGAGCTCTTTGCCTGTTTGGTAATTCAATATTGGATAGTGTAGTTACATTTCAAAAGGAGAATAATAACATTTTGTATGATATTAGTTCATTGCATTTGAGTTTTTTGCAGCATCACTTAAATACAGAAAGTCGTTAAAATCTATGTATTTCAAGCAAATATTCCTGTTTTCCAGTTTAGTATAGCAGTAGAATAAAAGCATGTAGTATATTCTCCACAACATATTTGTTTTTTCTTGTCCTTTATGTAGCATGCTAATGAAAATCAGCAATTGTGGATTCAGTAAAGAGTTTGTCTTTTATTTTGAAGGTCATAGCTGTTGTTTTACCGGTCTATTGTTTGTTTCTTCAAGCTGACTTGACACATCTCTGCAGCTAAACCAACCTGTTCAGGAGTTTTAGGAAAACGTGGAAAATAAATGTTTTGCTGCCCTCTAGTGGATATAACAGTAAGAGTTTGCAATAAAACTAATGGGTTGATGTATACACTCAAAAAATATAACGTAACATTTGTTTTTGGCCTTACCACTACCAGCCATGAGCTGAACGCAGATATTTGAGGCTTCTTTTATGGCATCGTTCTCTCAGGTGTGGCTGATTAGAGAGCACGATTACGATTCTGAAAACCAGTCAGTATCTGGTGTAGTAGTTTGGTGCACACGGCAGAGACAAACACCCCCGCGGCGAGCAGGGTCCAGCCAGCCGCATTGCGTTTCTGCTTAGGCTACAGAATGGGGGTTACTGTAGCTTTTCACTAACCAATCAGAATGTGTATCAAAAAATGTTAATTTCCCTGCTACGTTTGTCAAAATAAAAGTCTACACTAATTGATTGTGCCGCTACACCTATACTTTTTTGTTGATTTTTTGAAGACATTGTAATGACTCCAACTTGTTCTTTCTGTTTCGGATCTTTATTCCGGGTTACTGTTGGCCGCGACCCATGCCTTAAAGTATCTTTCCGGAGTTTGCCCTCAGTAATTATGTATGAATTTTCTGAAATCAGTAAAAGCGATTGACTCACAACGAACTTTCACACAATGTAAGCAATACGTCTTTAAAAATTTTTTTTTGCTATGCACCCCCCCCCCCCCCCCCCCCGCAGAGCTCCGTGTAATAGGAAACTGAGTGCTGACCAGAACTTACCATCCATTCATCCATTTTCTGAACCTGCTTGTAGGGTCGCAGGTGGGGCTGGTGCCTATCTCCAGCGGTCAACGGGCAATCAGGCGGGGTACACCCTTGACAGAGAGCCAGTCCATCACAGGGCAACACAGAGACACACAGGACAAACAATCATCCACACACACACCTAGGGACAATGTAGACAGACCAATCAACCTAACGGTCATGTTTTTGGACTGTGGGAGGAAGCCGGAGCACCCGGAGAGAACCCACGCATGCACAGGGAGAACATGCAAACTCCATGCAGAAAGATCCCAGACCAGGAAGCGAACCCAGGACCTTCTTGCTGCAAGGCAACAGCTCTAACCACTGCGCCACTGCGAAGCACACCGGAGCTTTCCAGTAGTGTTAAACTACCCCTTAAATGCTTCAAATTTAAGGAAAACCTCGGCTGATGCAGATTTGATTAACTTTTCACGGACAAGTAAGTCTCTAAAATATAAATATATGAGAACACAACATGACATGAGAATAATGCTTGTAAAACAACGTGTTTTAGCTCTGTTTGTCGGCTACGGAAGGACATAAATAAACAAGAAACATGAAGTCGCCATCTTAAAAAAAACGGAAGAAGAAATTATTTGTGTTATATGCCTGTCAGCCACTAGATGATGCCATCGGATAAGAGAAATACTCCGGAAAGAGACTAACTCCAGGAAAAACATTAACAATCTCCATTCACACTAACTTGTTTTTTCTTTCTAAACAACCGCACCGGAACTCGCCACACAACCGACCAAGAACACCCCCTTCAACATAAAAGTCTAACCATAACAAATCGTTACCTGTTACACTGTTGTAAAACCAGTGGCGGATTTAGCAATTTGGGGGCCCAAGGTGAACACAGACATGGGGCCCCCTTACACAAAATTTTCGTTAATCTTATCTTTAACTCATTCACTGCCAGCCGTTTCCTGATCGCTAACGGCCTTCGCTGCCAGCATTTCTCACCGTTTTTACTGTTTTTTTAAGAGTCACAGAACGTTGCGCGCTAGGATTATGTCGATGCCAAAACAAAGCGGAGACTCACCTCTTACATCAGGAAGAATCCGTGTGTTTCGAGCGTTATCCGTTCTTTCATAATCCTTTGTTGAATTGTGATCAGCAGACGCTTTTCCGGTTCGCGCCTCACTTTTTTTACAGGAACGGCCCAAAACGATCTCCTTATACATGGATGGTCTGCTTCCTGATCATGTGACGTGTGACGTATGCGGATGAAGATCGGTTTCAAGGCTGAGATGTTTGTTCTCTCAGCGCGAGGGCTCGCTCTGATGCTCAAACAGTAAAAAAATACCAACGACGACTTTAGTCGTCATTGGCAGTGAACGGTTGGATCTAAAATGACGACTTTAGTCGTCAATGGCAGTGAATGAGTTAACTGGATTTATGAAACTCTACCCTTCTCTGACATGCGTTATTTTTCACTTTTTATTAGTCCTCCTCTTTATTCTTTCTTCTATTTTCCATTTTGGCCCATGTTTTCCTCCCTTTAAACATTTTCCAATGTCTTTCCTTTTCTGCTTTCTTTTGATGTTTACATTGAAAAACAATGTCACTTTCGGAAGTGAAGATAAACGCTTTTTTAAAGCAAGCTGCTTCTTTCTCTTATTGGAGCCACTAGGATAACTCCATTTCATGCTTAATGTTTTGACTACTCCTTCGAGTTTGTTACGAATTCTCCCGCCTCTCTTTTTCTGCTTTCTCTTCTTCTTATTAGTGGTCTTTTGGCACTTGGCAAACAATAATTTGGTGCATTACTGCCACCAACTGGATTGGAGTGGAATGACTACCAATCACTTCCTGTTTGTGTATCGTGTCGGTACAGGATCTGCTCGGGTGCAAAATCGGCTCGGGGTCCTTCGACTGCCGATGACGTCAAAGTACGGCAAGCCCACTCGGACAAAAACACTACACATCTATACTGTTGGAAAGAATTTAGCAGTTTCGTTATAAAAATAATGTTTCTTAAGACGTAAGTTTGTGTTTATAATGGTATTTGTAAAATAAAACACTATGTTGTATTCATAATGTTGAACTCCTCTTTGAGCACATCCCTTGAAGGATAATAGGTATTAGCAACACCTGTGAAATTGTATTTGCAGGAAAGAAGTGTGTCCCGTTTATTGAAGTATTTTGTGTTTAGAGTTTTTGACATCTTGTCCATGCGTAGTTCAGTTACGCTCATAGCTGCTAGCCAAAACTCTGGAGTTAAAAGTTTTCTGGCTTTACTAAAATACCTGTTTGTACTTATTTGATTGATGGTAGTTTTACTTTCTATTAGACTCCAAATGTAATCATTTGGCACGTTTCTAATTCATAATTTGTAATAATGTAATCGGTGATATTAGCATTAGCATTCCTATGGGTTTTTCCACGTATATTAGCATTGCGCTAACCACTTGCTGCCAAATTGCAGCCTTTGCGATTAGAAAATCTCCTTTTGTCACATCGCAATTTAATTGCACATGCAGTTAATCGTTCAGCCCTAATATACATGCAGCTCTATGCTAAAAGTGTATTTTCAAAGAGGTAATGATGGATTTCTTTGTAAAAGTTGTCCATCTTTCCAACAGAAAGATTTGCCTGGACCAACGTAACGTGATAACAACGTAACGTGATTACGTAATTCCGTAAGGTTCATGTTCAGCCAATCAACTACTTTGACGTCATCGGCAGTCGACGGACCCGAGCCGATTTTGCACCCGAGCAGATCTTGTACCGACATCGGCATCTTAAAGGAATAGTCCATTGTGGCCGGGCCCGGATGTAGCCATGGGCAAGGAGGGGCAATGCCCCCCTAAAAATAGTAACTGCCCCCCCAAATGCGATGATATGTAGAAATCCCAAATTTGAAAAGATCTGATGAAAAAGGGTCAGAGTGCTCTCTCTCTCTCTCTCTCTTTCTCTCTCTCTCTCTCTCCCTCACTCACTCAAAGTAGTTGCTGATTGATAGATTCAAAGGGAGGGTGTGGCCAGCCACTGCACTTCGTTCTCTGTGTCTCACTCGCTTCACACTCCTCAGACAGTCATCAGCAGCAGATCACAGAGACGCACCGTCGTTATCTGAGCTCAGCCACTGGTTGAAGTTTTCTTGTTCTGTCGGTCACTGGAATGATTTGGTACTCTTTCTCAAGGTTTTAGTTTGCCTCGTTCTCTTCTTTAAATTGTTTTTGAAGTGAACCGAGTCGACACGACAATGTGCACGTTTCTGGTTTCTAAACCGAGCAACAGTGCTAAGGCACTAGCGGCAGAAACCACCTCGTCGGCTGCTGCTTCTCAACTTGCCACAACCAGGTGCACAAGCACCACAGCCCATG